ATATTATTTACATCGGAGTTGCATCATAAATTGTACTCTGATTCAAATGACACGTACAATGTTAATGACTTTATAAAAGTAAAAGCATATTGTGTATTGGCCTATTGGGTTTACACTGTTACAGGTTCATTTAACTTTAACTCTCTCAAGTCTCAACAGACAATCGGACATGCCAAATCCATTGATATGACACTCTTCAAAAAACTTTTTTTTGAAGCTAGAAATCATGATTTTTTTCAAATTTTTCCAGGGATACTTTGTTTTCTGCTCTCTAAACTCCCCCTCGTGGCTCTAGTGCTCCACCCCTAGAATATAGACCTTACTGGGGTTTGGTGACACTTTGTGTTGCTCCAGTCACCTGCACACGGCTCCCCCCCCTAAAATTTCTGGCACCACCCCAGTAAAAAATATGAAAATCCGTCTATGCAGGGATGTATACCGAGTCCTCTTCTTTTCAACATTTATGCAAACGAGTTAGCTACTTTGTTTGACAACACAAGCTCTGATCCGTTTATACTTCCAAATGGAACAAAACTGAGCTGTCTTTTATATGCTGATGATCTAATCATACTATCTAGATCAAAGTTCGGTCTCCAGAAATGTCTGGATGATCTCCATAGCTGGAGCAATAAATGGCTTATGGAGGTGAATTTAAAGAAAACACAAGTTATGATATTTGAGAAAACAAATTCTAAAAAAGCGAAACCAATTTTTAATCTCGGAAAGAAAGATATAACTGTTGGAAAACAATACTGTTATTTAGGCATTAAGATGAACAACAATGGTAATTTCACCCCAGCTCTTAAACAGTTGAGTGAAAAAGTCCGCCACGCATTATACAGTATGAGAAGACGACTCAATATACACCGGACTTAACCCAAAATCTGCTATTAAAATTTTCGATCGAATTATAAGCCCCATCCTTCTTTACAACTCTGAAGTATGGGGTGCATATGTAAAAAATGATTTTAACAATTGGGACAAGTTACCTATTGAAAAAGTCCACCTTAGATTCTGCAAACTATATCTAGGTGTGGGTAAAGAGGTGAACTCGGAAAATTCCCTCTAATTATTAATATCTTCAAAAGACTTTTCAAGTACATCACTCATTTGAATTCTTTATCGAAAACAGCCATTGCCAAACAAGCTTTCCTAATCTCAAAAGATTTGTTTACTAAACAGAACACTACTTATTATGGAAAAGCAATGGATATTTTGAAAGCATTTAACCTCAACACAGAAATCACTGACTTGGAATCAATCACAACTGAACTTATTCAACCTATTACCAAATGTCTTAAAGAAAATTACCTCACATTTTGGAAACACAAACTTGAAAATTCCTTGAAACTAATCTTTTATTCGACCATCAAGATAGATTACGAAATAGAAAAGTACTTATCTACAATAAAAGACTCAAACAAAAGAAAAACCTAACATGATTCAGATTAAGTAACCATAGCCTTCAGACTGAAACTGGTAGATACCATAATATAGCCCAAGAAGAACGACTGTGTAACCTTTGTCACTCGGGAGAAGTCGAAAATGAATCTCACCTCCTCCTCACTTGCAAAGCTTATGGTGACATTCGAGTAAATTTTATAAACAGTCTAAAAAACGATCTCACTACTACTGAGACAAACGTAAACAAACCAACTTTATCAGTTGACATAATGAAGTCAGCTGCTAGTGACACCATCCTGAAATTATCGAAATTTATTTTTTCGTGTTTTGAGGAAAGACTTAAACAACTTGAAGCCGGGAATGCTGGTAGTCATTAGTGAAACTCTCCATCCTGTAAATAGTATCTTCTTATAGTCTACTTCTTAAATATTTTTTATATGTTACATTGTTACGTTATAGTTAAGCTTTAGCAATACCTGTAAAATATGGTCATGCTAATAAAGCGATTATCAACAAATACCCCCCTCAAGTTTCGTCCTGCATAATATACATCTAACAGGGCTGTACACAGTGCGGAGGGCAGCAGGGGCAACTGCCCCCCCCCATAATTTTATAATGTGATTATGATTGTAACAGAAAATTATGCAGTCAGAAATAAAAATTTCATGCAAACAATATTCGAAGTACTATTTAAAGCATGTGTAGGAGTGTTTTATCACATATAAAACACAACGCGTAGCGGAGTGTTTTATATGTGATAAAACACGACTACAAGTGCTTTAAATGGCTTAAAAAACGACTTATACGAGTTCACTGGCGAAGTCATTTTCAAAATAAACTTTGTCTAAACCGAGAAAATCAAAGCTAAAGTTTATGTAAATTAACATTATTTTTTATCACATATAAAACCACGACACACTTATGATTTTCCTTTGTGTTTTGACCTGAATTATTAATGAGTTTTTTAAGTGTCTATACAGCCGGCAGCCGGCTATTCAGTAAACTGTCACTTGTCAATCACCATACTTATCGAATTTTCAAAACTTTAATGTAATCATTTGAAGCAAAAGTTCTGTCATTTGTTGTTTACACTTGCCAATGTTAACTGTTGAGTAACATACACAAACTATTTGAGGAACATGCATTACTGTAGCAATGAGTCAATCATATATTGAAGACCACTGAATAGTAGAGAATATTTTGAAGGTCATGAGTGAATTATATAATCCCCGAGCCGATGGCGTGAAGCGCCGTGCGAAGGTACTAATTCCCCCCGGCCACTCACACCCGGGAAAAGGATCGCACTAGCCAAGTCTAAAGTTCATCAAATATCGCAGGCGCGGTTCATGGGTGTATGGGTGGTCATCTCACTGATCTCAAAATATGGCTGTTTGCTAGGAGTGAAGAACGGGAAAAATATATGTAAGAAAGCTTGGAAAATCGTTTCACATAACAAATTGTAAAATTTTTCAGGTACTTTACACTTTACTGTACCGCAAGTATTTGATGGCGTGTGTTCTGACGGTTTTTCCGTTCTTTTATCGGCGTGTTTTGATGGCGTATGTATTCTGTGATTACTCCAGTACAGTAAAGTGTAAAATTTCCAATTTTTCTTCAATTTTTAAAGGTTAACATTAACTAAGAATTGATTTAGTATGATAAATTTTAAAGTATAGCCTATAGGGCAAATTTGTTTCAATTGTTTATGTATGCACGACTTTGTATTCAAATTCATATAGATTTTGTTCTTGTTGTTCAACAGTTCAAGTCTTTCCTATGCATTGTATGCGAAAGTTTCTTAGTTAAATTAACTTTTGTAGAAGTTCATGATAAAAAGGAAAGCAAATTATTTTCATTACCATCCTGTACGAATTAAATTTATTTCATTTCAAAGTGCGAGCAATAAGTTGAAGAGATTAATATCGGCAAAAAGCTGTTAATTTCAATTTACATTTAAAAACGTTTTTAATACGTAGTTTCGTTTCGAATTTTACGTTAAAATAAAGCCAATAGAAACCAAAATAATATACCTACTTTATATATTTTAGAAATTCGGACAGTTTTGTATTTAAAAGTGTTCAATTTCATCTACTTTTTGCAGGTTTCAGTGAGGTTTGTACAAAAAAATTTTTAAAAAATTATCGTGTTGCCATGACTAACATGACGTGGCAACACGAGCCTGCATTCAGTGTTGGCGTATTTACGAATACTTCATGTTAAAACAATGTTTGGAGAATATAGGCAATATAGGCGAGGGGTTGTTGCATGCATGTATTTCTAGTTAAATTCTAATCCTGTGCACAGTTAATGATATACCATCACACTGATCGGTTTAACACAGGAGGTATCACAAGTTTAGAAGGTATCACAAGTTTAGTTTTGTACATTGACATTGTGAGCCATTGATCTGATTCATCCATATAATGTATGATTATTGTAACTGTTAAGTTATTTTCCATAGTAATGAATTTCGGTAAGATTGTCTTGCAAGCGGCCATTGTTCTGACAAAATTATTCAGCCAATATCCAGTGTCAATCTCAAAACAAAAACATTTATCTGATTTAATATGTTAGAAAGCAAAATGATGACAACTTAGTTGGACTGTTGTTTTGAACAGAATTACAGAAATACATGACCAGGAAATGTAATTCAATATCTCCTGAGAACATTAGTTTCCTGTGACATTGTTCATTGGCAAATATATTGCCTGCTATGTTTTGACTGTTTAATTAAAATATACACAACACAATGATTGTTCTAGTGCAGGGCTGCAAATTACTGTCGGACATCAGACAATGTCCGACTAAATTTGGCAAATGTCCGAGCAAAAGTAATTTTGATCGGACATTGGTCCGATCACAAAAAAAAAATGTCACATACATTTTTTTGCTGTCACAAAATCCGATTGCAAATTCACTCAATTTGCATTTTGCAATAATATTTATGAGGCATTCTAGCATTTAACTTAACGTTGCATCGGAATGGCTATACATACTTTTCTTGTGACTTATATATATCTTGTGACGTATACTGTATATGTCTGACCAAATTTAGTGATGTTGGTTTTTGTCCGACCAAATTCAAGTTATGTCTGACCAAAATTAAAAGTGATCGGACAAATATCCTGTCAAGTCTGATATTTATTTGCAGCCCTGTAGTGTATAAATATATAATAAAATATGTGGTATACTTACAAGATGAGGATACTTACTTATGGATACTACTTATAAGATGAGGATAAGTTTCCATGTTGATAGATATTAAACTTCGGAATAACATCGCAAGTAGAATGGCACGTGAAAACAAGACAAAATCAACATATTTCTGAAGCCAAAATGTGAAAATGGCAAAGAATAACACGAGGTCAAACAATGCCCGTTCGCAGTTCAGATACGGGCACGATGTAAACAATTGATGTAAGCTAATCGCTGATTGGTTTAAATTGGCTTAAATTATATAAGCTCATTGCTGAATGGCTATGTGCTAACATACGGTACGGTCACGGTACAGTAACAGTACGTTTGCGATAGCATATATATCTGCTTCGCAGATACAAAAATCTTTCTTAGCAACAAATGGCCTTATCTACAGTTTTGATGGAGCCGAAAACGAAAAAAAACATACCTGAGGGAGTGTGGGAAAAGCTTTGAAAAAGTACCAGCTGGTGTATTTTGCAAGCTCAAAATTTGTTTTCATTTGCCATACCAGGGACACTTTCATTCAAATAAAGGCCAGGATTAATTTAAATGAGTATAGAAAGGATTGTATAGAACAATCAACAAAACAACATCTATGTATTATTTTTTTGCATTCGGCAAGTGTTTTTTCAAAGCAAAATGGGTGACAAAATGGGTTTTTAGTGACAAAATCAACTTTTAGTAAGAACATATTTGAATTTTTTTTCCACAGAGACAACTCATGCATAAAACAAATATTACCCCTGTGGCATGATTTTCATATGCAATGGGCTATGGGTGCTCCTTATTGGCCAATTTTAGCATGTGGCATGTGCGTGCAAGTAAAAACGGATATTTTGAAAAATTCAAAATAAATATTTCAATACAAGGAGTATTTCACTGCTATTGACTTGGGCTATAAATGTTGAAGAGTTTAGAAGATATTCAGGTTTTTCTCGATTTGAAAGGCAAAATGTTTGGCCAAGCGTTGAGTAAATATACGATTGTTTTGGTTTATGTAATGTTATGACGGCATTTGACCCCCCCCCCCCATTCGAAAGGTTATTTTATGGGGATTTCAACAGTGGTTTTCGATTTAAAGGGGGGTAAATACTTGCCGAGATATTTTAAATTCTCCCCTCTCCAAAGTTGGAATATGACCGGATTACAATGAGTTAATCTGTCATGATTCGAAATAATTCATTGTCAAAATGCTGATGCCATGGGCCAGCCAGTGGGCATTTGAGAGCATTCACCCTCAAACACATGCTGGCTATAGGCCCATGGCATCAGCATCGTGGAACAGTTATGCCAAAATGATAGGTACCATTTATGAAGTTTTACCTCAGTAGGGTCACAGAATAGAAACTACACTATTACACATTGTATTTTTAGGCAATAAAGCTCGTTATAACGATCATGAATATGACATTTTCTGAATTTAAACTTTTCTGCAGGCACGCATGTCTCAACATTTAAAACCTTATCTTATATAGCTTGGTAAATTGTTTACAGTACAGTGTAGTTGTAAAATGGCACTGTATTTAATCTTAATTTTATTGGTAAATTTTTTCCTGGCGTAAGTAAATTTTATGACATATAATCATGTTCCACTTTTCACAGAATATGGATAACATATTTGAATTGCCATGCAACAAAAATGTTATATGTTCTTTTTATCGTGGTGAATATTAATTTGTTGGATCGGATCAGTATGGGCTTAAATGCCTCGCCTGCAAGTATGACACCCACAATTGTGTCCATTTTGGATTTGTGGACAATTCAAGGACTTTATTTTATTGTGGTGGCTTACAAGCTCATCCAACTCTGCTGATGTTAAACCGTTTGCTATCTATCGGCTAATCTATACTATTGATTCATTTTTCTTTCATTGGTGTGGTTTTCCCTGACATTGCAGTGAAATATAATCTCTAGTATTTTCTGTATTAATCACAAATTCCCTCCCCTCAAGTGTCCGTCACACCTTTATTGACCGTTGTCTGCTAAATGATATAATCAACAGAAGATTTAAATCATACTTTCTCCATCATGGTGCTGTAGAAACCTTTACCTCTGGTTATTTCTCTACATCTATATTACCTTTTGTGGTCTTTATGTCCCAAAGAATTGTTATGTCCCAATGAATTGTTATGTCCCAAAGAATTGTTCTAACTTTGTGCAACAGCATCCTATTTTCTACATATGCAAGGAAATCACAACAACCCATATCACGAGTCTAGTTAAATATGGTTGTCGACAAAAAGGGAAAAATGAAGGTCATTGCCGAATTCATCAAAGGTTTTCGCAGTTCTAGTTATTTCTATATCTGGTGATGTAGAATTTAACCCTGGACCTGCATCGATTACTAATTAGCCATTCCGAAGTTGATGAGTGGACTGGGAACAAGTGTTAAAAAGTGCCCAAATTAAGAAATGAACCAAATCACTAAAAAGACCACCTCAACATTAGTAAGTATACAAAGTTTGAAGACGTTTACATGAATACCCTTCGAATAATAAGCTTTCGAAAACAGTGTTATTTACTATGAAATGTATTGTAATTTTTGTTTTTGGGATGCACGTCCCAAAAACAATCTTTTAATCAGTAATTTCACAATTTTCGGAAGCTTATTATTCAAAGGGTATTCATGTAAACGTCTTCAAACTTTGTATAGTTACTAATTTTGAGGTGGTCTTTTCAGTGATTTGGTTCATTTCTTAATTTGGGCACTTTTTAACACTCGTTGCCAGTCCTCTCATCAACTTCGGAATGGCTAATAGCCATCAAGCAAAGGGTTTTCTTCAGTATTGTGACTTTCTTCAATCCCAGGGTCTTAAGGTTGCACACCTCAATATCAGAAGTATCTACAATAAAATAGATTCATTAAAGCTTCTACTTAACGAAAAACCTTTTGATATTTTTGCGATCTCTGAGACCTGGCTAAACTCCGATATAACTGATGGTGAAATCTCTATTCTCCTGTCTATACGTTTCCAGAAATGATCGGAATGGAAGATCTGGTGGTGGTACGTTAGCATTTGTGAGATGGCATCCCTCACAAAATACGGACTGACCTTCTGAGTAGCAATATCGAATCCACTGTTATTGAAATCACTCGTCCAAAATGCAAAAGCCTTTTTATATTCGCAATCTATAAAGCCCCTGATCAATTGTTAGAGTCACTTACTGAAGAACTTGATACTGCATTGCCCTCTATTTTGTTAGAAGCTGAAGTAATACTACTTGGTGAAAATTATGCTTCCCGAGCTCTTAAGCAAAAGCTTCTAAACTTTACCAGCATCTACAATCTTGAACAACTTATTGATAAACCGACAAGAATAACTGAGAACTCAAGTACATTGATTGATCTCCAATTTGCTAACAATAATCGTCGAATAGTTTCCTCTGGAGTCCTACACATAAACTTAAGTGACCATTCCCTCATCCACTGTGTTGTTAAAGCGGGTGTATGTAGAGCACCAGGAATAGTCAGAATATAGATCCTACAAGACTTATTCAAAGCAATCCTTCCTCGCTGATCTTGTACATGTTAATTTCGATCTTATTGACGAAGAACAAGACATTAATGTCGCTCTGTAAGTAAATGGAACGAACTGTTCACAAATGGTGTCGATCTTCATGCTCCAATTAAGAAATTGAGAACAAAAGGAATCCAACCCCAATGGCTTACTATTGATTTAAGCAACGCAAGATTGCTACTGCCACCACTGCAAAGCTGTTAAGTCAAATTCGTCTTTTCATTGGATGATGTACAAGAAGATTAAATCTTATGTCAATATAAATGTTAAGAAATGCAAAGCTGAATACTACTCGAACCTGATCAATATGAATAAAGGAAACACTGGTGCTTTATGGAAAACGTTAAATCACATCTCGTCCCGAAAATCTCACTCCTCGCCATCTTGTATTGAAGCTAATGGTGTTTCTCATACCAACCCAAAGTTTATAGCTGAGTCATTGAATGATCATTTCTCAAGCTAGGATCCAAATTGTCATCTAAGATAAGAAATTTGTATCCAAATCGGAATTCTATCAAGCAACCTAGTCAGTTTAGGAAAAATGAATTTGTTTTCCAGCTAATTGAAGAAAGTTATGTGTATGGTGTTCTGGACAATCTTAAAACCAACAAAGCTGTAGGCCTCGACAAAATCAGCACAGGGTTACTTAAACATTTTTTCAGAGTTTAAATTCCCATCCTAACCAAACTTTTCAATCGTTCACTCACTTCTTCAACATTTCCATCAACCTGAAAGTCTGGCAAAGTAACAGCGCTTTTAAATTGGTCACAAGATTTGGGAGTATTCCCAACAATTAATAAAGTTCTTGAGAAAGCAGTTCATTCTCAAGTTTACCGCTACCTTATTGACAATGAAATACTTTCACCACCACAGTTTGGTTTCAGACCTAAATTTTCCACTGAGATTGCACTCGCACATTTCACAGACACCACTTTGGCTAACATGGACAAGGGTTTAGTAACTGCAGCTGTTTTTCTTGACCTGGCTAAAGCCTTTGATACTGTCAACCATTCTCTTTTATTTGAAAAGCTTTCCTCATGTGGTCTCTCCAATGATTCTGTCAACTGGTTCAAGTCATACCTAACCAATAGAAATCAACTTACCGCCCTGGCTAACACTGTTTCCTCCTTCAAACATGTTCCTGTCGGAGTTTGCCAGGGTAGTGTTTTTGGGTCCACTATTATATCTTATTTTGTTAATGATTTGCCTTATTGTATCAACCATTGCAAAATATTGTTATACGCTGACGATACTGTGATATATTTTTCTTCAAACAATGCTTGCGATCTTGAAATGAAATTAAGATCTAAAACACTTATGCAGATGGTTTAACGACAATCTTCTGACACTTAATGTCCCCAAGTGTAAATTTGTAATTTACGGGAGTTCTCGCAAAGTCGCAAAATTTGACAATGTTTCCATCACAGTTAATGATTCCATACTTGATAGAATCGACTCCTTCAAATACTTAGGAGTTACAATTCAACAAAACTTAACCTGGTCAGAACATATCAACAACATCAGCAAGAAGTTTAATCAACACCTTGGTCTCATTCGCCGCATAAAATTCTTACTCCCTATGCAAGCCAGATTCACCCTCTACAACAGCCTTGTCCTCCCTCTATTGGACTACAGTGATATCGTTTGGGGAGACAAAAACAACTCCACTCTAATGAACTACTTTCAAGTTCTGCAACATAATGCTGCAAGACTTATCCTTGATCTTCCTCACCATTCCTCTGCTACCGAAGTCCTTGAAACTCTAGAGTGGAAACCCCTTTACCTACGTCAAAAATACCACGGTTGTATCTCTGTCTTTAAATGTCTTGACCATCTAGTCGACTTTGATTTTAACCTTACCATGATCGCCCATATACATAGCCATAAAACACGACAGAATAACAACTACTACCTTCCACGCCCACATACAAATTGAGGGAAAACAGCAATTCACTTATCACTTTGTATCGGAATGGAACTCATCTTAATCTATTTAAATCCAAACTAAAACAATTTATCTAATTAAGTTGAGTTTTTTTTTTCTAACTATGAAGTATAATTATACATATAATCCATTTGTAAGTATTTTATAGTTTTTAAATAAGCATACTATAGTTTACCATGTATAATATAGATATATATTACAGGACCTCCCTGAAAAACACTTCGGTGAGTCGAGCTTCCTGAATAAATATTATTATTTGTGCAGAGAAAACTTGATGAAGATGATGAATCCTTTCTTTTTTTATACCTCATGGTTTTTTCTGATTGACCTGTTAGATGTTACTCTTCTATCCCTTTATGCCTGTCAAAGCAGAAAATTCAATTCAAAGATGAAGTCCACAACACATGTTTGATGCGGGATTGTAAACATGCTGATGAAAATGGCATCTTCCAAATTATGCCCGGTGGTAATAATCATTTGAGTAGTCCTTGTCCATCATGTTCATCTCTATATGATTGAACAAAAGTGCAAAGGATGTGAAATTATATCTATTCAATGAAACAATAATTTGTAATGGTGAGCATGAGTATATAAATATAAATCATAGTGTATAAATCGATAGTATATAAATCATATATTACTGTCCCCAACCACAATCGACATAATTTCTAGTAGTGCTATAATACTAATCTCGAACCAATGACTTCATAACAAGACATTACGATTCTTCAATTTTTCTCGCCATTTAACTACATTTACATGCTTTACAGAGTATGTTCTAACTCTGCACATAACAGTGTGAAAATTTTGATGGTAGTCAATTTGGAGTTTTACATATGGGAAGATATCTTCTTTCCCACAAGGTTGTACATGATGACATGCACCATTTCTTATTTGGAAGGGTATCAAATACATTTGCTACATGTATATATACAATGACATTGTAATTTATTTAGAGGAATTCATGATTTCTGATCGTTTTGCAGCCAACAGTTGCACCGATATAGATGTCATAGCACGCAATATTAAAAACTTCCCACACGCTATGATGTTTTTGTATTGATGCAATGTGGAATAACTATCAAAACAATTGGCTTCTTTGGCTGTTCTTAGATTTGAAGAAAATAAAATGTGAAAAATAAGATTAATAAATTACTTTACTGTCTACACAATAATAATATTAGTTGCATACAATTGTCATTCTAGCATATGAAAATTACTGCTGACAGCACAATTCCTCTTAAACATATGCCACAGAATAAGAATATATATTCACAACTCGTATATGTATATATTCACAACTCGTTCCTTTCTACATGACGAATGCCCAGTTCTCTTTGCTGCTCTTCGTGACCTCAGTACTTCAATTTTACCATGGATGTGTGGTGTCTAATGTTCCAAGAATTGTTAACAAAATCGCTAGCTCCATTTATCAATGGTATTTCAGCCCCTCTGACATCATTTAGTGATATACATGCCAATGTATTGTCATTTTTTTCGACTTTACCAAAACATCAACTCTAAAATTTTTACTTAGCAGATGCAACACGTCGAAAAGAGATCTGCACCAAAAACCATCCTGGTCATTCCTTTTTCATCCCAGTATATTCACACTGTTTTGTCCACATGGTAATTTGCAGAGTTTTCACTTTCAAGGAAATTTCCTTTTTTCAAGGATATTTTGACCGAAAAAAGATGTTTCAAGGGAAAAAGAGGAATCAAGGAAATTCAAGGAATTTTTTACTCAACTGAAATTGTTTTGAAGATTCTTTCAGGCAGTTTAGGGTTGCACCGGAACCAATTTTTTAAGTTCTGGCTGGAACTGGATCCGACCGGAACTGGAAAAAAGTTCCAGCCTTAATTTTAAATTATATTACTTTCCTTTGCTCATAACCAACACATCCGCATGCAAAAATAAAAAACCTTTCGGAGCCTGTGAGTGAGTCAGTAGAATCTAGAATTATTAATTAAACCAAGTAGGCTGCACCCAACCTGAATTTTAGGCAGATATCAGGTAACATCGTGCATGCAGGCCACCACATATGGCTGTCATGCAGATTTATATGAATTTATTTGTCATGTGAATTTGTTCACTATTGAGAAGAATATCAAAACTCTGGCATTTTACATTTTAAAGCAGAAAACAAAGTGTCACTGCTTTACAAATAAAAATTCTCATTGAAAAAACTAATGATACATATAGGTATGCAAGGTCTTTTAAACTTGGTCAATCATATATCACTAATGTTTGGTTAAAAAGATCAGTTTTTTATGCAACTATTTCTGAGATATTGCCATTTTTGCATTCACAAAATTCAAAATAAGATACCCACAGTGCATATTTCAGAAATTCATTGTTGTATAGTTAAGGCCTGTTTAAACGAATGCAACATTGTCCAACATTGTTGGACCAACAATGTTGGGCAATTGTTGGTCAACGTGTTCAAACGGATGCAACAATCCAACAACTTTTAGCAGTTCAATTAGTACAAATTCTGTTTGAAAATAAGAACAGTGTAACCTGTGTGTTGATGGGACAGTATTTACTGTATATTAATTAAATATATTAGAAAAATAGAGGATGCGTAGCCAGGTTGAAACATTTATTGAACGTTCTCTGACTTAATATCTATTTCTACGAGCTTTCGGCTATCAGTCTATAGCCTTCTATAAGAGTTTAGCGTCCTTTATATAGAATCATTTGTATACACCCGTCGAAGGCTATAGACTGATAGCCGAAAGCTCATAGAAATAATTAGAGAGGTTAAAATACCCTGGTTTCGGCGTACGGGTACGAGTAGTGTCATCTTGTTTTACTGATGTCTGTAATTCGATCATATTTTTTCTGTTTTCTTGCAATAGACAATGATATAATGCGAAAAATGTGCACCTTAATTTCGAGTAAAGGTACAGACAACGACGAAAATATTGCTAACCAAAATGATGCTACCCGTACACGTACACCGAAACCGGGGTATCTTAACCTCGCTAATATTAAGTCAGAGAACGTTCAATAAATAATAATTAAATATACACATAAATTTTCAATGTTATTGTGTTTTCATGTTTTCAAGATGGCTGCTTTTGCTTGCTGCATGCAAGCCTCTACATTCTGTATATGTTAACATAATTGTATAGACTTTTACCTCATTGTTAGTATGATTACAGCTTTTTTAAGTATCTCAGGTAAGTTTGTGTGAGATTATTGCATATTTCGTATCAAATTTAAATAATATCAATAGAAACGATAACATTGTACTGATTTTCACCAAATGTTGGAAGATGTTGGATGAAAAGTTTGAACAAAATCAAACTTGATCCAACATCATCCAACATCATCCAACAATATCCAACATGGTGTTCAAACGTATGAGGTGTGATATCCGCCAAAATTCATATATTCAATTATGCCATTGGAAATGCATTTATGAAGTTCAGTTATGCTATTATGATATTCGATATTATGTTATTCGAATTTCATTCGGCGTGAAACAGTCATTATTGAAATTTCATTCGGCGTGAAACAGTCATTATTGAAATAGTCATTCGGCATGGCACTCAGAAACCAAAACTCGACTTCCGATTTAGCGGGAAAAGCACGCGGGGAGTTGTAATTTCAACATGGGCGAAGGCGAAGGCAATTAAGTCAACAGCGTGCTGTGTCTTTGTTGCAAGAAGCGACAGGATTGATCAGAAAATATCCTGGATCATCAAATGATGCTTCTTCAGCACAAGTTGCGAGTCCAAATGTAATTTCTCAAAGCGAATCGCATGCTACTACGTACATCATCTGGCAGCACTGCCGTCAATACATCAAATCCAGAAAGAGTGTTGGGGAATTTTAGAAATCTTTTTGCGCCGTATGGGCATACTGGTCGCCGATGTCTAAGTTCCTCAACACAGTTGTTTCCAATACGTCTACAACACTTATATTTCTGTCTTGTTGACTTAAATTGCCTTCGCCTTCGGTCATGGTGAAATTACAATTTCCCGCTAAACCGGAAGTCGAGTTTTGGTTTCTGAGTGCCATGCCGAACCGGAAGTCGAATTTTGGTTTCTGAGTGCCATGCCGAACGACTGTTTCACGCCGAATGAAATTTCAATAATGACTGTTTCACGCCGAATGAAATTTCAA